GAGCACGCTAATGATCTCATCGTTCCACGGGGTACACGTGACCAGCTAGGCATGGGGGTTCGAAGGTTTCTGGAGGAGGGACTGCTAGAGCTGGGGCACGTAGGATGCACAGGGGACCAAGGGTCAATGTGTGAGACACAGAGATGCAGGGAGCCTGGCAGCGCTGGTAGCATGTGCTAGGATAAGCTAGACAATGCCAAGAAGCAGAAGGCACAGGCACTGACTATAGAGAGTTGTATCCTGGGAGAGGGACTACAGAGAGAGATGGGTTTCTGGCTGGAAACATAAGTAGGGACTGGATCTGAGAGGGCTTGGATGTCTTTAGCCAGCAGTACTGGGGAGGCACTTTAGAGTCTTCAAGGGAGGGAAAGACATGGTCATTTTTGTGATTTGCAGAACTCACTTTGGCTGCGGGGGAGATAGTAGGTTAGAGGGACATGGCTGTGACTGGCAGACATTTCCCAGTAGGCCTGAGCCAAGAAGAACCACAGAGATGAAAGGGATACAAAGCGGTGACATCTCCCGCGAGAAGGGAACTCCTCCAGCAAAGCCCAGGCCTCAGTGGTGTATACACAACTGCACAACTCTTGCTCCAAACACAGGCAGCTCCCTTTGCTTGGCAAGGGTCATACACACTTCCCGGTGCTGGGCCCTGCACCCACAAGGTCCATACTAAAGCCACCTTCTCTGCCCACACCCAAATCTATGCATAGGACATGGGGTCATTCGCATTCTCTACGCCACACTGTTACAGGTCCTGGCTCTCACAAGCCAGGAAATTCCCCCAAAGGTTCCCTGCAGAAGAAGAAGGGTACTGAAGTTCAGAAGGGGACTGAATACAACAAGGTTAAGTTCATAATATCTTTTATTAATATATTATGCTACAAAAATATTTTTGGCAAAATAACATTAATAGCATCTTTCTTTGTCTTCTATTATACTCTTAAAGAACTCTTCACGACAATTCACAGGGGTGAGGGAAGAGGTGATGAAGAACACCACAAACACTGGGAGAGCTGAAGCCAGCTTGGTACAGTGAGGCACACTGGGAAAGCCAACAAATGTGAGACTTTGAGACTTAGAGCTGGGCAAAGCCGAAGGCCAGCCTCCCCACCTGGAGTCAAGTGCTCCACCCACCCAGCCTGGCAACCAGGGAGACTCCTGCCTAAGAGTCCTTGGTCTCTCACACCAGGCAGCATAGACTTGGATCCCGTTCAAAACCACATTCCCCAGGACAGGTCTTAGGATGGAAGGAGCCTTTAAGTAATGCTTTCTTGTCTGTCACATGTCTCATCATGGCCGCCTGTGGGGCCAACATGGGAGGCTGGGCTAAAGGATGGAACCCCACCTTCAAGAAGACCCAATATTATACACAGAATTCCCCTCCTGGCCCAAGGAAACTCTTCCTATGGTCCAAGAGGAAATGGAAGCTTAAAGAGGGGCAAGGGCTTACCCAAGGTCGTCAAGCAAAGGGATGGGTCAGGGGTGGGAGATGGGGGAGGGGAGGGGAGATACCAATCTGCCTTTGGGGACAGGCTATGAGAAGTTGACATTCCCATGGGTCCTTATAAGCCCCGTCTTTCCTTCCCCAGGGTTGGGCACGGACAGAAGGGCTCTGGGCTGGAGCCATGGGCAGGGTTTCAATCTAGCCTCTCCTCCCCAAGATATCCCCTGCCCAAGGGCTGCAGGCATTTCTGCCATCTCATGGCAAGTCTGGCAGGGCTGTGGAAGAATGGGGGAAGGGTGGCTAGGGAGGCTTGTCTGAGTTCTGAATCTACCGGCTTAGACAGCCAGCCAGGGTGATATTTTTGGCTGCTTAGATGAATTTTTGGAAAAATAGCAATGTTTAAAGAACCTGAGCCTTACAGAGCCAGGGGGCACCTCCATGTCATTTACACCAGTCCTGTGCCAAGACTCCCAGCTGGCTGCCACATCTTTAGCCAGTGGGCCTTGGGGCCTTGCGTACTCTGCCTCTCCATCTATCCAGAGACCTCTGCCCTCAGGTGCTGTCCTTTACCAGCTGGGGAAGTGGAAGTTGTACCAAAAAAGAAAGCCAAGGCTGTCTTTCCCCTTTCCTAGCTCCAGACTTTCTTCCTCCCTTGCCTGCTTCCTTTCCTCCTTTGTCCCTCTCAGTGCATCTACGGAGTATCACTTTTGTGTTGAAGGAAATAAAGAAAAATGACACATGACCTAACCCATTGAATCGCTTCCTTTCCCAGTAGGGAGCAGTTCCTATCTAGACAGCCCCAGGTCTGGAATGTGGGCATGGTAATGGGTCCTGGGGCGCACAAAGGGCTCTAGGGGGAACATCCTGGAGCTAATGCCCCCTCCCAATTATCCTCACAGGATACATGATTGGGAGAAGGGAAGAGAACTTCCCCCGGGTAGTAACATGTGTAAAACACTGTGTATATTCTAGAAACAACAAATATGGTTCCATCTGTCAGATCTGGGGTGGGAAGGATGAGAATGGCCAGCAAGGTCAGCTGAGCCAGGTCATGGAGGGTCTGGAATGCCAAGTGGAGGACCTGGTGTTTATCTCGTGGTTATCATTACCCCAATTCTGTTTTTTTTTTTAACACCCAGGATGTCATTTATGTTACAAATCCTGCATAGAATATCACCTTTTCAAAGAAATTCTCTTTTGGTAGCAGTTCTCTTCTTTGGGATCTGTTGTGATAAGAGTACTTGTCTGAGTGGTGGGGCAAAGCTCCTGAGCTCCCAGGCTTGCCCAAGTCTAGATGAGGCCAGGAAGTAGCAAGGAACCACACTGCATGTGGGGAGGATGTACGTGGGTCCTCCCGTGTGAGACGAATGTTCCGAGCCATTGTTGTCTGCACATGGCAGACTCTGGATCTCTGATCCTGAGGACTGGCCCCTGCACCTCCCTGATTCTTTTCCCCTCACCATGTCCCCGTCACTTAATCTGCTGGGCCTCTGGCCTTCCATCTTTCTGTCTGCCTCAAAGTCAAAACGAAAGTCCTAAAAATACTCAAGGAACGCTCAAAGGAATGAAGATTTGTGTTTACGAGTCCAGCTAGACAGAACATGAAGTCTGAGAAACGGCTGATGGATTACTGGCGTTTTCAGAGCAGGACAAGAAGTTGAAGTGGCCTAGCCATACATTTTGTTTTTGTGCCTGAGGCCTCCTGGGATGTAGGCCAACAAGTTGAGTTTGCTACTTACTCAAACCCTGGCTTATTAGAGATCTCCAAGGAACAAGCATTGTTGGTCTTAGATGTCTGACCAATAATTGCTCTCTTTTCTAGGTTAATGCCAATCTGGAAATTTGTTGATCTGTTGGTCTAGCCAGCCTGTGCCCTTCCTTCCTTCCTTCCTTCCTTCCTTCCTTCCTTCCTTCCTTCCTTCCATTATTTTTCATATAGGGTCAGGCTATATGGCTCAAGCTGTTCTTGAACTCACTATGTATCCCAGGTTGGTCCTCAAACTTATGATGCTCCTGCATCAGCATCACAAGAACAGTCATTACAGACATGTGCCCCTAAGCATGGCACATTGCCTTTCTTTAAAAACTTTAAAGTCGGGCTGAGGAAGAGAGTTTGGAACACTTCCTTCACTCCTCATCTTCCTTAAGAAGGGATCTGGAAAGGCAGTGACCTGACACTGGGGCTGGGGCAGCAGTAGCCCAGGATGGCCCCTCTATCCCATCCTGATGGTGAACTCTTCTGGGCCCAGGAGGGTGGGTACAATTCAGCCTGTATGTGTAACCTGGCACCGTGCTTTCGCAATGATTATATGCTGCATTAATTCACCATTTTGGCCCCATGCCTGGCACAGGTCTGGGCACACAGTCAGGTGCCTGGACTGTTTCCCCAAATGCTTCATCTTTAATTAACCTCAAGCTTGATCTCCATACATCTCATGCCATACTCTGCCCCAAACAGGGGAATCTGGCCTGTGTGTTTCCAATTCCTTTACACTTATCTCATCCCAATAGCGCTCTGCACGATCCGTTTGATGTCTAACTTCTGAGCCTGCTTTAAAAGTCAGCTAAGCCCCTTCTCGCTCAGCAATAGGAAGTCACATTTTTTTTTTTTTGCCAAGGATAAACTGACTCCAGTCCTGGTGGAGGTCAAGTTCAGTTTACAGTGTGGTGCCCATGGGGCTGGCGGGACCCTGTGAAGCGGAGTTCCAGAATCCTGCCAGGTCTCAGGCTTAAACCTGTCCACTGGGGCAGAGCTGGAAAGAATTCTGCCGCTTGCCAGCATGCCTGTGGGACCCCTGACTATCCAATGAGTTGCCCAGAATCCTGCCATCTCAGAAGGGAGAAGTCTGCCAACCTTAGCATGGCAGTGTTGTAGCCAACCAGGCGCCATCAAGGCTGCCAGGGAAACCCATGTGCAGCGGGGTGAGAGAACAGGACTGGAGTCAACATGCCTGCGCCAGCTATGGCATCTTGGAGAAGTCGCTCCTCTTTCTGGACCTTCGTATTACTCTTACATTATTGACAGGTGAGGGGTCTTTCCTGCTCTCAGGATCTAGGACTCCTTAAATAATTTATGAGCCACAAGCCCAGCTGCGGGTTGAAATTCAGTCCACATTGGTTCACAGTGTCCCTGGTCAGTCCCTGAGGACAGAAGGGTAAGCCTGTGTCTCAACTCCCTGTCTGCCCACATTGGCTGATCATCCTGCTAGAGCCCCCTGGCTTCAGGAACCAGCAGGGGGAGCTGGTGAAACAGCCTCCTCACCTGCTATAGGAAGCCTGGGAGGGTTCCAGTTTGGGAGATCTGCCTCCCTTGGTTTCATTTCTATTAAATGAAAGCCGGGCCAGTGCCACTGGAACACAGATCGTCCACTTGCTTTGTGACTTTGGGTAAATCCCATTCACTTTTTGGGTCTCAGTGTAGCAATCTGACCATGAGACTGGGTTCACCTGCCTCAGCACCAGTCTCCCACCCAGATGGAAAAACCTTCTCCAGGAGCTCTGGAAGGCCAGTCCACAGACACTCTGGACTTCAAAATAGCAGCATTTTTTCCCCTTAAATTGTCCCCCCAGGGCCTGGGTACATCCAGGGATGAGGAGGATGGTTTGGCCACCACGCCTCTGGCTATGAAATTCAGCTTCACAAAAGTTGGGGCTGTCTTTCTGCTTGCCCTTAGAGGTACCTACAGTGGGAGAAGCCAAGCCTGACTAGGAGGCTTGGGGCCAATTCAAAGCCACAGTCCACACAGGTCACAGAGGTCACGGGAACCTGGGCTCCTTCCCTGGGTTGGTGTTGGGGCTAATTCAGGGACTATAACATAGGCTACATTAAAAATAGTTTTATCGATAGAATAAATACATTTTCTCTTTTAATATGGACACATATTTTACAAAAGAGCCCCATAGCACTATGGGAAATTAAGACCTTCTACAAAAAAGAAGATGTAATTTGGGTACAATAAAGCTCTAGTGTTTTAAGGTCCCTGTCCTGTGTGAACTGCCTTGAGGTGTCAGCACCCTCTGAGGTGGTGTCAGACGGTGGGCGCCGTCACCGATTTCTGTGCTTTCTCTGACTGCTCTGCAGGGTGGTCAAGGTCAGGAAGGCCCAAGGGTGTGTAGTAGGAAGGGGGCGACGATGGTGGCAGCGACAGCAGCGGGGAGGCCCCGTGTAGGTGCTGAGTTGCTGGTAGGCCCCACAACGTCCTGCTGCTGGAGCTGGTGTGATAACTTGACAAAAGGCTTGGTGGTCCCGGTGCTGGGGGTAGGCTGGAGAGGCAGCGGGGGCGGCGAGACAGTTGTGCTGGAAAGAGGAAACAGGGACCGTCAGCAGCCTCCCCCTAGGAAGAGAGCTTGGCGTTCAGCTCTATCCTTACCAGGTATCTTAGGGACGAGGAATAGTCTAGAATCCCACCGCCAGCTCAGCTGACCTCCAAGGACAGGATGGGTGGCTCCCAGGCAGAAAAAAATTGCACAGTCATGGAGGAGATAGCTCTGAGGTTCCCAGAGTATAGATGCCACCTGTCTACAGGTGTTCTGCCCCTGGTTGCTCCTTCCAAGGTTGCTGAAGGTAGCAGAACGCATGCGCGCACGCACGCACGCACGCACGCACGCACGCACTCACGCACGCCTTAATTTTCCCCACGTCATCCTAACTGCCTTGACTGGAGCTTCCCCCATGCCACCTGTTCAAACATGATTTCCATCGTCACAATAAGCCTTCAGCACGGGTCTTATCCACCCCTCTCAGGAAGGGTGGACCTCAAGGAGGTCGTCAGGTTCTGGGGCAAAGCAGGTTTACACACCCATGGGACAGGAGAGGAAAGACTGCCTCAGAGCAGGCAGGCATGGCACTCCTACAGAATGTGTATGCAAAACGGGTGAGCCAGGGGGTTTCCTCTGCACATTTTGGCTCACAGACCCAGTGGGCTCAGTTTCCTGCCATGCTGGCCATTAACCCCATGGGTCCTGTCCCCATTCCACTATACTGGGCTGCTCTACCTCTGCCTCATCCCAATCATACCCACTGTCTTGCTGTTACTGTCTTTCTCACCTCTAGAGACTTGACTGCTACCTTGGAAAGCGAAGGCTCACATAAAACACTCTCCACTTCCCACTGACTGCACTGTCAAAGTGGGACATACAAAGAGGGTTGAAGACCAGGTTTCTAATGAGGGGCCTTAGAACAGTGCCTGGCCCTGGGAAGCATGGAAAGGCTTTGTTGTTTTGTTTTTTTAAATTATCATTAATATTTTTGTGCCTCTGCCTCTTCCGCTAGTAACATCGCTCATTTACAATGTGCTTCTGAGTACAGGCAGCCACCATGCTCAGTGCTATAGCTACACCCTATTACTGTTTCTGCTGAGCTCGAAGGAGATGAGGATTCTCAGCAAGGTGAGATGCACTGGGACCATCTGTTTCTGTAGCATGGACTGTGAGCATTAGGGATGCACGCTATTTCCTGGTGAGACCCTGAACACTGATGTGCAGGTTCCAGGGTCAGAATGAGGCCTTGTTGGCTGCAGCTCCTGGAGGAGATTAATGCCTGTGCCTAGTACAGGTCATTACCTCAGCCTCTACCCTCCCTTTCTTGTCTAATGAAAAAGAAAACTGCAAGCAACACACACACACACACACACACACACACACATAAAAGTCCATGCCTAGCTGCTGCTGTGCGGCCCAGCCTGGGTAGTGGGGGAGGCTCTGAGGGCAGTGGGCTAGATGCCCTGTGAGGTGGCTGGAGCCAGGGCTCAGGCTGTCCTAGAGTGGCAAGACCAAATGGGAATTACGTCTCACAAGGCACCTATAGGCATTTTCTTTCACACTTTGAAAAATAAAGATGAAAACTCTCCCTTGGAGCCCAAGTGGTGTTTTTATTGCTTGGAAAGAGTCCCAGGAAAATGAAGTGGGACTGGGGAGGGGGACGAGCCCCTCTGAGTACAAGCTCCCTCCTTCTTTCCTAGCTTACTCAGCTCACAAAGTTGGTCCCCAGTCCAGGTCCCCACCCCCTTCCAGGCTTATGTTGGGGAAAATTGTCTCATGGCACAACGGTCTAGAGGCCAAACCAAACACACTGCACATTCCCAGGCCCTGCAGATGGCGGGCACTGGGGGGCTACGTCTGCTCTGAGCTGACAGGACCCCCAAGTGTGGGAAGGCCCCTCTGGCTGGCTGGAAGACAGAGCTCTGTACAAGTCTGCGTTACCTCCTTGGCTTGATCTGTAAATTTGGGTCAACACTGTTTTCTAGGCCTCAGTTTCCCAATCTCTACAAAGGAAGGGCAAGAATGGGTCAGGGACTTTGAACTGCTTTCCTGAAGTAAAAGCCAGAACTAAGATCACAGGCAGGAATTCAAGGGAAAGCACAGACAAGTGAGGCTGGTGCCAGGCACTATGTTCATTGCCACCCCTTTCTGGGGGATCCCTGGAACAGGGATGAATTCTGGCACTAGGAGACCGCCAAGGCTCAGCATTGGGCATCACTGATATTAATTTTCTTGCTAATATGAGGAGCTGGTGCCTAATTATGGGCACAAGTGTACTTTTTGCTCTTTGAAAACCAAAGATGCAAGTCCCTTGCCAAAGCCTAGAGTTTTTGTTGCTTGAGTGGAGTCACAGAGAAGTGACGGGGGTGGGGGTTGGTGAAGAGGAAAAGCCTCCAGTTACTTCCTTAGAGACCTTCAGAGAGATGCAGGGGCACCAGCCTTAGATGCAGGGCTTGGATGACAGGATCCTCCATGTCATCCCTGGAGGAGAACTTGTGATTCCCAACTGTGTTTTGGCCTCTTTGGGCCAAGAAATCAGATGTAGGCAAAGACTCAACTTGCTCAGCTGGCCTGCTGCTCCCCTGCCTCCACCCAGTACCTGGAGCCTATCAGCCTTTACATCTTGTGCCATGACTCCTTCCCCAGGAATGCCTTCACCCTCTCTCAACCTTGCAGACTGTGGGCTAACCATCTGATGTGTTCTAATAGCTTCACAGTGGGTCAGAAGTGGAAACAATTTTCCATCCTGAGGTGAAAAATGGGCCCATAGATGGGAATTGCCAGGGTCCTATAGAGCTGAGACTTCAGGACCTTTCCGGTGACACTATCTTGGGAGCCATATGTCACTGTCTGGCACCAGCACTAATCCAGAGTAATGGGTGACAGGCGTGTGCCCAACATGCCCTTGCTAAACTGGGGGTGGTGTTTCACAGCCCCCATCTACTGGCTCATTGATGGCTTTAAGTCTAAGACATACTGAAAGTCTCATGAAGCAGCCTGCTGGGGAGACTGAGCCCTAGACACCCTGAACCAGAGACTTTGGAAGTAACATTAGCAGCACCCACTTCAGGGTCACAGTGGGGCTGATGTTGGCTTTACAGGCATCTTCTTACTGTCAATGCCCTGTGGGGTGGGACTGCAAACGACTCTGTCTGATTCAGGGTTTTTTCTTTTCTTTTGATTGAATGACTTCATTTTCCAATCCTCATGGGGCACTACCCACTTCAGGTAGGGTTCCCGTCTGACAGGGATAACTTGGCTACCCTGGACCACTCCACATTGTGAGGAATAAGAGGAATACCTTGAACATAAAGGGCAGTTGACAGGAGGCTGCAGAGCCCTTCTGGAGGTGGACTGTGTTCCCTCCCATCTCTGGGAGCTTTGACACGTGCCCTGGGTGTGGCCTGTACGTGCCCTGCAGCACTCACCAAGGCTCTGTGTCTGCCACACACTGATGCTCACCACTGGGCCACGCTTTGGCCAATGCCTAGCAGTTGGAAGGTACTCTCTTTTCTACACCTGTGAGTCCTTAACGTGCTTCCAGCCCAGATGTGACGGTCACTGTGCCTCCATCTCTCTCTTTCTTTCTCTCTCTTACACACGTGCATACGCACATGTGCATACATACACACACACACACACACACACACACGCATGCACATGCACACACATACACACATGCTTGCAGACTTGAGGACATGAAGAATGAGAGTCGGCATAACCTCCAGGAACCATCCAAGACCCTAATGGAGCAGGAGGCACTTTAGGGTTGCCACGGACCCATGTTTTATGGGTCCTGGCTTGCCATGGTCACATCTTCCCCTGATGTGTCTATCTGTGCTCAGAGGTAAGGGATTCCTGAGAATGCTCCTCTGCCATACATCCATCTGTGGACACACTCAGCCCTTTCCACGGGTCCCCCCATAAATCATCCTGCCACAGGCTGCTGCTACTCTAAACTTCCTCCGCTGTGTTTATATCTTGGGGTAATGAGGGGCAAAGAGAGGCCAGCCTGCTCCAGGTGGTGTCCCAGCCAGGCACTCACAGCCTGCATCCCTGGCTTCCTCCTCCTCAGACTCAAGACTACAGTAAAAGACCCTTCCCACCTTGTGAGGCCTTGGGTGACCTGGAGCAGCCCAAACCAGATCTGTGCCTAGGATTCCCCAACCTAGAAACAAAGAAATGGAGTGTGGGGAATAGTGCCAAGAAAAGGCTCCCATAGGTGACTAGGGCAGATAGGAGAGCTAAGCCAGGTGAGGATGGGAAAAGCCCTGAGATAGTGGGTGGCAAATATGAACCTTAGAGTTGGGTGACAATTCTGAGTCTCCATCCCTCAGCAAGTTCACTGACCTGGATGACTGATTCCTTCCCTGTAAAGGCCTACTCTCTGTGACTCCTGACAGTACCATAAAGTGACAGATATAAGCGCCTGGCACAGGGGGAGCTTCACAAAGGCCCACTGGCATGCCACCCTAAGCAGAGAGAAGCAAGTACAATAGCATGGGGGAGCAGGGTATAGCCCATGGTGGCACATAGCCCAGAGAGAACCCAGTTGAGCTGGAAGGCAGAAAAGAAGGTGAGCACCCCGAGGCAGGCAAAGCCGAAGAGCGGAAGACCCTGTGGGGCCCTGCTGTAGGAGTGTAGGTGGCAGACGGGCAAGCAGAGGTGGACGTGGAGAGCCAGCTCCAGGTGGGTGTGAGGGCAGAGCTAGCAGTGGAATAAAAAAGGGTTCTGGGAAAACTGGCTTTGTGAGGAGGGCTTCAAATGAGCTCTGTCGGATCCTCTGCTCCTTCTCAGAAAACTGGAGACTTGGGGACTCTGGGAAGGGTGGAATGAGTCCTTTGAGTATGAGAGCCTGTACCCTGTACTGGGACTTCCCAGGGAGTGCAAGGCCCACTTTCTCAAGAAGCAATGCGGAACTTTAATAAACTGTGTTTTGGTGGAACATTCTCTTTCAGCCTCAGGGAAGAGCATCAGCTGACCACAGCTTTACCTGCTGGGGTGGAGAAGGGCTTCCCTCTGCCAAAGAAAAGCTGCCCTCTTCCCCCAAGACCAGGCTCTGTACTTCAGAGCCCATGTTGTGAAATGGAAACTGTCTGGTGTCAATTGTCAGCATTTTCCTTTCAGACACAGTCAGGGAATGGCGGCTTGCTGCTGGAGCTGACAGCCGAGTCTCCTGCTACCCCATGAGTTGGAGTCCTCTATTGACCAGGACTGTGAGTGAGCAGACCATTTAGAGCTCTGAGTGGACTCGGGTAGCCTGTAAGCACACCAGGACGATGCAGCTCTCTAAAACTCTAACTGGCTCTTGTACCCAGTTAGGCAGAGCAGCCCATGCTGGGTACCCAATCTTAGTGTGTCTCAGCCAACAAAGCCCCATTGAGGCCTCTGCTATAGGCAGCAGGGCTGTCTCTGCAAAAGTGCATTCTTCAGTAGCTGTGGCACCGACACCTAAGGGCTCAGTGGCTTTAATGCCTACACATTAGAAGAAGTCTTTTCACGATAGTGAATGTCATGCTCTTTGTGATGAGGGCTGGACTACATCAATCAATCTCTTCTCACCTACTAGCTCAGCCACCAGGCCATAGAAGAGCCCTGAAGTGGAAGGTACCGGTTGGTCAGCTTTTGGTTCCCTGGGTGGCCCAGGACAGGCCCTTCGGCTTCGCACCTCGGTTCATATTCATGAAGGCTCAGTTGGGCCAGAACTCCCTAGAGTTGCTTAGAACCTCCTGGGGGTACACAGCTCAGGTCTCCATCCTGACTCTCCTGCATGAGGTCTGTGTGGGGCTGAAGGTTTGCTTATTTAACAAGTCCCCAAGGTGATTCTGTTCAGGGTGCAGAAGAAAATTCTGAATGGCATTAAGATCCAGACTGGGACCCCGGGTTCTGATGTTCCACTGTCTAAACATCAGCTCCAGGACTGGGCTACCACAGTAGGTAGGGGGAGGACTCTGGCCCATTTCTGAGACATTACTTAGTGACACCATTCACTGCAGAGATTTCTGCCACTTAGGGAGACTGCTCTGGAGAGGAGAGGACCTGAGTGTGGGGTGCTAGACAGAATCTTGGAGCAACAGGAGCTCTGACCACAGGCTGAGGAAGGAGGTGCTGGGACAGGAGGAGCATATGGAAGGAGGGTGGGGAGAGTGCCAGAACTTAGGCTGTGTTCTGTACCTGCCTGTTTACAGAAAGGTTCACAGTTAACACTCCGGAGCCACAGTATCTACTGCCTGGTGTTCCTTTCTCTCACAGGGCGGGGGCCCCTCCAGAGTCTCCACACTACAGCGATACTGTTCAAACATTCCCAGCACAGGGATTTGTCACCCTCTGTTATATTCATCCTGCCATGTTTGCTCCCGCTTTCACCCCCATCCATGGGACAAATGAACCAGGGGCAGGCCAGGCACAGTGGACTTCCATCGCTGCCACTGGAGGAGGCTTCCACGTTTTCATTTTAATGTTAACTAAGTAACTGGCTATTAGTTACTGGCTGTACTGGGGATCGAGGCCAGGGCCTTGTGCAGACTAGGTAGGCACTGTGTCCTGATGCTATACCCCAGGCTTCTTTCTACTTTTTATTTTGAGACGGTCTCTTACTAATTGTCCAGTCTGGCCTCAAACTTGGTATCTCCTTGCGTCAAGATCTCAGCCCCTCTGCCACTTTTAAACCACAGAGAATTCTACTTGTTGTTATGTTGAGAATAAACCTCTCAAGTCAGATGTGTGCGTGTTCTATACACCCCAAAAGATGCCCATGGAGATCCTCAAGGGTCAGTGAAGAGCCTGCCTCTAATTTTCACTCTGACACCTCTGTCCCTGCTAGCTCATTGCAGGGTCTGGGGCAATGCACTAGCCCTAAAGGAGACTGGGGATCTACAACTAGCTCCCGGACAGCCAGTCCCTTCCCTGCTCACCTATCCTCGATGCGAACCCAGAGATCGTTGAACTGCCTCGGCCGCTGCTGTTTGTTTAGTCTCTTGCGCCACTTTTGCCGTCCGAACTCCTCCAGCTGGCTAAGGCTGTCAGGGAGCAGGAGGTGTGGGGACAGGACTGGATCCTCCTCCTCTGGAGGGGTGGTGGGGGTTGCTGAGGTTGCTTCCAGGACTGCAGCAGCTGGGGTTGCTGGGGCTGGACTGGCAGAAGAGGTGCCCTCGGGAGAGGGAGCCGGGCTCCCAGTAGCAGGACTGCAAAGTGAAACAGAATGTGAGTAAGCCATGTGTGCCGGGCGGGGCAGGGGGGGTGATGGTGGTGCAGAGGGGATGTCCCACTGCTGGGACAGGCTAGAGGGACCCAGGGCAAGCTTTGTCTGTTATAGAGAGACAGAGCATTGGCTCTTTCTTCCATCCTCTAGTCCACAAACTCCCTGCAGCTAGTGTGCCCTAGAGATTACGTAACAGCAGTGACCCAAACAGACGTCCCGCTACGGCTCATACCCTAAAGTGGGAGACAGAGTAAAATACACAAGATATCAGGTGGCCACACTGCTGGGGAGGAGAGCAAGAGCAGATGGCAGAGACAGGTGTGAGAGCACAGGGCTGGAAGGGCTGGCCAGACAGGGAGGTCTGTGCTTATTATCTGGTCCTGATCAAGGGTTCACTCAGCAGTGCCCCTGGTGGAGGGTCTCTGGGTGAGTTATCTTTGCTCTATCTCAGTATCCTGTATAATGGGGGTAGGATGACCTGCACCTTCTCGAGAGTATTGTGATTTCACAGGTGAAGGGCTTAGAACAGTGCCCAGGCCATTGAAGAGTTGATGCTATTGAAGCTGTATTGGATGTCAATGGATCATCTTTTGAATGGGGGCAGGGCAGGACTGTCACTAGCGCTCAAGCTGAATGAAGGCTGATACAGTGCTCATCCCACTTGATAACTCATGGTCCACATTGTGAACGGGTAGCGCTTGGGTAGGGGATGGAAGGATATTGCTCCCTGCGCCATCAGGATGGCATGCATGTCGGCGAATGAGCGCCATCATTCAGTGCAATGGCTGATACCTGATAAACCTCTCTGAGGTGGGTCACCGAACGAAAGGAACTGACTATGCAGCCACTCAAAGGTCCTTTAGTCATGTCTGTGGAATTCGTGCTTAAAGTAGGGTATGCCTCTCAGCCTGCAGACATTCTCTCTTTTATTCTTTGCTTCCTGTGGCCCCAAAGGAATTCCCTGGGGACATCCGGCCCTGGAGGGTTAAAAGTGGTCTTAGGAATTGTGTCCAAGCCAACAGCTTGCGAGGGAGGTAGTATCCAGGACTGAAAGCAGCCTGTCCTCCCATCCCACCCTGACACTGCAACACTGAGTGGGGTGAGGGGTTTCTCTCTCTTTGAAGAGCAAAAGGCCATTGGCTCAGCTCATCCCCTCCCAGCCCCCATGGCAACTCCAGACTCCCAGGATCCAGGCTATTGGAGATGCTGCAGCTGTTGAGGAGATAATTCAAAACAGTCAGACAAAAAGATAGCTACAGGAAGCACCTGTGGCCAAGGATGGCTTTTATTGTCGTTGCCTCCTCAGCTTCCCCACCCCCTCTGCCCTGCTCGTTCCTTCATCCCCCTGTACAGAAGAGGAAGGCTGAGAATCCTCTGTGCAGAGCCGGTGGGGGCCAAGGAGGGGATCTCCTCCTCTAAGGCCTGCGCTCCAAGATGAATAGGAGCCTGCCTGCCTCCCCTGCCCTGCCTGGCCACACACAATGAGCTTCAAGGGAGAGGTCCTTGGGGGTGTGGGGAAAAGGGTGAAGCGAGAGAACAGGAGGGAACTAGAGGAATGCCTTGACTCCCAGGCTACCTTGCATCCCTTCTTCCCCACAGCACCTGTCCCAGCTCCCTCCAAAACTCCTGGCTGAGCCTGAGGAAAGTGGTGGGAAGCTGGGACGCAGTTCCAAGACTGAGGTTCATAACGTCCTATAGAAGCCACATGGAACTAGGTGGCTATGGTACGGAGTCCGTGCTCTGGGGACCCTAGAAAGCTTCCTCTCCGGAGGTCAAGGTCTCAGTTATTCTTAAGCTCCCTGTGGCCTAGAGCAGGTACAAGAAGTGGTTAGGACCTGAGGGAGGCCGCAGGGCCAGACTGCCCTATAAATGTGTCCTTCTGCAAGTGAGTTCATGATAGGCTCAGCAGCCCTAACTAAATCAGGGATACCCATAGTTCCTGCCTTACCAAGCTATGACAATGAGTTAGAAACATACAGAGTGAGCAGCCAGTACCACTTGTCTGTGACTAAAGAAGCCTTTCGAGGACTTTGGGTCTTGTAAGCATAAGAATAGGGGTGGAAATCACAACGGGGTTATCCTTACAGGTTGGTAAGAAGGTTCCTGCATGCTGGCTGGAGCACGAATCTCTGGGCTTGAGGAGTCTGACACTTTATAGGAGACCTCGAGTCTGGTCGTGGCCTGATGCTGTGGCTAGAGATACTGGGATAGGCAGAGCTGGGCCCTGTCCTGGGGAAACTTCCAGGGTGATGCTATGTGGGGTGGTGCAGAATAGGAACCCACACAAGGAGGAGAGTGGCTGTGTGGGCAACGTGAGAATGTCTTGGCAGGAAGGTTGGACACTAAGGGCACAGACTGAGGAGGCAAAGGATCAGATCCAGGCAGCAAGCAGAGGATCATGAGTGTGTGGGACAGCCAAAGGGCCACGCAGTGGAGATGGACACAGGGAAGCAAACAAATTGTCGCCTTTTCTTCCTGTGGCATCACCCTCGTTCAGGGCCTGGCTGTCCACTGACTTTCTAGGATAGCTAAGGTCACTTATGCCCCTGCCCAATCTATTTGTATATGAACTCCAAGAATCTTGCATGTTCTCATTCTGCCCCCATTCCCACTGTGCCAGGCGATCCCAACAATATTGCATACCACCAGCCTGCTCACCCCATCTATCACCTCGCCACAATGCCTGGTCCAGCCTGTTCCCAAGAGAGAGCCCATCTCACAGCCGGTCAGGGCACAGGGGCAGCGACCACAGCATGTGGTCAGGTAACAGTCAGCCAGACAGCTCCAAGATGCCACCATAGACCCCAATGCTTACCTGTGGATGGCTTGCCCCGCAGGTGTGTGATCCACCTCCAATCCTGCCTGTCTTAGGACGTCGATGACAGTGTTGTTCCCCAGAAAGTGACCTGGAACAGAAGATGCAGCATGGTCTCAGTCACATGCCAGGTTGGCATTCAGCAGATAGATGGCTGTCCCTTTGGTTTGTGTCTGGGCTAATGAATTCTATCAGTGAGGTTCCCCAAGGGACTCCTGGATGGGTGTTGGGACACGGAATGCTCATACATTAGCAACAGAGTTCTTTTAAATCCAGGTAGTGTGTCCCAGCAGGAAGATGTAAGGCTGGTCGACCCTGCCTGTATTCACACACCAGTTCTGCTCACAGGCTGCACCTCTGCATGCGCCCCTGCTTCCTCACCTGTAAAGTGGGAGTGATTATCATCACCTTCCCCAGGCTGTGAGGCTGAGAACAGAGAACAGGGGCTGGTGTGCAGCAGCCTATTGCATCACTGTGCCTAATGACACTAAGTTGATTCTAGTGCCAGTCCATCTGGGGTGGGTAGCCTACAACCGAAATGAAAGGCCTAGCTCTAAGATCACCTCCTCTCCAACTCCACAGTCTATGGCTCCTCCTTGTAAACTCCATCAGCAACCCATGTCTCCTTTCCATAGTCCTCTGAGAGCCCTGCAGGGGACAGAAACCACCTTGCTACAGCCTTACACATGCTACAGGGTTTACACATGCTCAGTATGGGCTGGTGGATCTAAGCATTTAGATTCACTTCTTCACCATCTACCCATGATGGGCTAGGTACCAGGAAATCCACAAAACTGTCCTGAATCCGAGACCCCAGCAGACATTGACAGTGACCTGGAGGAGGTGCAAACAGGATTACTCTTGTAAGATGGCCTTCAGGAGTGTGTTTGTGTGTGTGTGTGTGTGTGTTTGTGTGTGTGTGATGTCTATCTCACCTCCTGCCCACTGTTGATTCTCTCAGCAAGTATTTATGTCTCTCCTGCTCTGTAGGAGACACCATAAATACACAGACAGAGAATTAAGTTCAGGGATCAGAGGCAGAGGCCTTCCCTCACCAAGGCACAGGTAATATGTCTATACATTTTCTAGCTCTGGCTAGGGAGAGTCCAGGGGAGGCCAAGTGACTGCGGACATAGGACTGCCTGGGTTAGGTCCTGTCCTCTCCTCGATACCTGCCTCCTGGCCTCAGTCTCCCTACATTTACTGTATGAGCAGTCAGGATTGGCCTATGCGTCCTGAGTGTTCCAGGATCTCCCCACGCAAGTCTGCCTCATGGTCCCGCATGTATCAATGCTTTCCTGCTTACATTTAGCTCAGAACTTGGGCATGGGAAGCAGGGGGTTTAATCACTGTCCCCTGACTCTGCTTGTCTGTGACGAGCGGTGACAGGTGAGAAGCAGGAGGGTCAGCATGATGACAGCCCCAGGGAGGTCGAGAGCACAGTGGACAAACTTGCAGAAACAGACATGCTCCTGAGTCAGATGGAGTTGGCAGGGCCTATGTAGTGGCTGGAGCAGATGGGCCACGCTCAGCTTGACACACCTCCCCAAGTCCATCCTGTCTCCCTAGCTGGTCAGTCAGAGCTGTTGTGGGTCCACCTGGAGATCACTGGAATGATCCCCACACAGGGAAGCTTGCTAAGGGTTCGAGTCCAGAATCTGCTATACTTCCTCTGAATCCTTGGGCACATAGGGCACCTCCCAGTAGTCTTCTCTATGTCAGAAGGAGAGGTTGGAGTGCACGGTGAACATGGCTCATGTTCATGGAGAAAAGTTTTGTTTCATTAAAAACCTCGTGAAAAGATGTTCCTCTTCCTCTATTCCTCCTTCCTTGCTCCTTTCCCTTCCTCTTTTTTGCTTTTTACTTCCCTCCTCTTTCCCCTTCCTTTCATCCTTTCTTTCCTCCTTGACTCCTCTCTCTTCCCGTACACTTACATCATTGGTTTAGTGAGCACTGACCGTGGCATATTCCATGCTGGATGGTTACTGAGTCCGAGTCCCGCTCTGGGTCCTCTCTGTCTCAGAATCTGGCTTTTGGGATCTGGGTACCACCGACAATGCACAAGACATCACAGGAAATTGTGCAGACGTGTGATGTGTCCACATTAGTGTGGTGTCAGGGAAGACTTCCTGCAGAAGGCAGTGCTGCTAGGTGAGGAAGGGAGTCGGGTGGAGGCAGAAGGAGGGGCTCCAGGTGGAGGGCAGCATTTGCAAAGACTGGGAGAGGAATGAAGCCAGCAGGATCTTCATCGGAAGCACAGGTGTGAGCAGGCCCCCCAGAATCTGGCTCTGACCTCCCTTGCATGCTGAGGACAAGCCCTGGGTCTCTCACTCATCCTGTGTTCCGCTTAGCTTCTGGTAACTCAGCGCAGACCAGAGTCACCCGGGGAGAGGGAACCTCAAATGAGAAATCGCTTCCACTGGATTGGCCCCGGGCATATTGGTGGGGTGTTTCCCCCCCCTTTTCTTTTTGATTAGTGATTGATGTAGGAGGGCTCAGCCCACTGTGAGTGGTTGGGTGGTGCCAGTCCAGGGCATGTGGTTGTGGGCTGTATAAGAAAGCAAGCTGAGCAAGCCAGCGAGGAGCATTCCTCCTTGGTGTCTACTTCAGCTCCTGTCTCCAGGTTCCTGCCTCAAGTTCCTGCCCTATCCTTCCTGGGACATGAACTGTGACCTAGAAATGTGTCCTCATCCCCCAAATGTCAAGTAGGCCTGTGCCTATTTGACTTGCTCTGGAAGCAGCTTGAAGACACAGACACACAGGAGGAGTAAAAGCTCTTGGCCAGCACGCCATTATAAGGGAGCTAAAACTGCCCCCCCACCCCGGCTAGGCTGGAGCCACCCCTCTCCCTTGGCTCTCCTTCGTCTGGCTGGGAGAGAGCAGTGGCGACAACCTTCAGTGTCCAGGAGGAAGGACTCCCTGCCAGGAGCTCATAGCCTCTGCTCTGGACAATGAGATAAGTCCTTCTCTGTTTCCACAAAGAACTGGGTTTAAAGACAAGCTCTGGTGGTTCAGTTATGATCCCCACATCTGCCTAGAAGGCCTCAAGAGCCACTAGAGAAAATTCCAAGTGTTGCGATGCCCAGGAGAAGCAGGTAACATCCACCGAGTGTCCCGAGGCCGTGCTATGGGTGTTCAGAGTGCCCCATGTGACGTCTGTGGTGCGGACCTCAAGAGATGCTGCTGAACCCTGAGCACTGGATGTTTCCCGTGTAAGCCAGAAGAGCCCTCACACCCCCTTAGCCTTAAGGCTTTTTGAACTGAATTGCTTTACTCAGGCCAGGGATACTAGGAGAGCGAGCAGGGACAGGTCAAATTTAAATTTCTTCCCTCTCCCCTCTGAGCCACACTTCCCTCTCATCCTTCCTCCAGGGCTGGAAGGATGGCACTTCTCCCCTACTCTTTGTACAGTCCCAGATGGGACCCAGAACTCAGTGATGTGAGTCCTACATGCCCAGTCAATATTGACATTCACCCTTTCTGGTGTTTGGTCTCATGAGACCCACAATTGCAACTATACAGTATTCAAGCTACCTGCTGGCCTGTGCATTTTTCATCATGGTCTTTCTCTTCTGGTGATGCTCTTGGTGGGCTTTCTTCTGCCCAGTCTGCGAATGGGCCTTGGAAAGCTGCCCTTGGCCTCTTTCCTCTTTGTCCTGCTCATACTTCAGCTATCACCAAGCCTTACCTCTGGTAGGTTTGATGACCCACAGTATTGCTGACTCTGGAACTGCCCTCTACTTGAGACATAGTGGTGTCCAGTGGCCCATGGACATCTCCACCCAAACCTTCCATGGAGCCCACCAACCCTGCTTGCCCACTCTCCATGCTGGCACTATGCCTCTACTAGACATTGTTAATCAAGCCCTCATCCTCCCACGGACAACAGAGACCGCACGGATGGGATGTCACCTCTCAAATATACCCGACTGCCCAGACACCACCACCTGCGGCGGAACTTCAGAAACCTGTTCTTCAGTTCCTTTTCACTGCAGTTAACCTGTCCTGCGCAGAGCCCAGAGCTGACTGTTGGAACATGTTCTCAAGAGCTACCTGATGGGGGTGGGGGGCGGGATATAAGTTTTTTGAGGGTGGGACCATGCCTGATTCATCTTTGTCCCCAGAGTTAAGCCCAAATCTGGCGCACCACCATGGCTCTGTGAATGTTTGTTGAATGAATGAGTGACACAGTCCGTTACTCCACATCCTTTCCATGATCTCATCCTGTCCCCAGGAGACCCGAGTTTCCCCCCATTGTAGCCCAGCCCTGGCCCTTGGTGATTTTCCCCAAGATCCCACCAATCCTAGGAGCCTGGCCCCTATACAGGGCAGAGTCAAGGTCCAGCATATGCTGTCCCCAGGGGTTGGCAGACAGGGCTTAGGCTTGTCTCCAAAGTTGGAAATTCTGGACAAGGCACCACCCCCATGCTGGAACCTGCAGGCAAGGTGGTGGAAGGTTTCCAAAGGGGCCCCACAATGTTGGGGCTCAGCCTGCTTGGCTTGCCCAGCCTCCCTGGGGCTCCTGGCCACCTCTCAGCAGCTCCCTCCAGCACTAGCTTCCAGCTGTTCTCTGGCCAGCTCTCTGCAGGAAGACACGTTCCATTTCACTTGCTGAGTCCAGAGAGGACAACAGAAGAGGAAAGAGAGGGTGGGGCACAGGGAGCCAAGGAGACAAGAAGGAAGTAGGAAAGAAAAGCAGAGGGACTATCATAGGGTCGAAGTAGGGGTGAGGGGGGAGAGAACTGGGAAGCCAAAGAAGACAGAAGAGAGGGGCCAGAGGCCAGCTGTAAGAGATGCAGTTTCAGAGAGAGAAGAGGGAAGCGGGGTGGGGGTGGGGGTGGGGGAGATAGCAGGGCAGAAGTGGGGGAGAATAGATGGAGCTCTACCTGCAGTGGAACGAGAGTGGATGAAACAAGGAAGAGGAGAGAGGGTCAGAGTTAGAAGCAAAGAGCACAGGGGAGCAATGGCGCCAGGATGGGTGGATTTAGAAGGACAGCAGGACGATCCAGGTTCAGGGAGTGTGGAGCTTCAACGCTGTGGGGCGGGGCTGGCCTTGTCTCCCTGAGATAAACCAGGGGCCACTCACAGACA